TAAATCCATAAAAACTATGTTGGCTAGAATAACCTATCAAAACCCATCCAATTGGGACACTTTATTACCAGCAATATTGTTTGCTTATAGAGAAATACCCCATAGCTCCACTGGCATGTCCCCATTTGAAATTATTTACGGTGCAAATCCCAGAGGACCTTTAGATGTATACAGAAACATGATCGCAGGAAAAACTGAGTCTGAGTCGAAGGCACAAGATTATGAAACAGTCATCAATCTTAGACACAAAATAATGGTAGCATACGAAGAGGCAAAAAAGGCATGTGTCCACGCAACACATAAACAGCGAATGTATGCAAACAGAAATACTAAACTGATGACCTTCGAACCCGGTCAAGAAGTGCTTATACTGCTACCAAAAGATTCAGACAAACTGTGCATCGAATGGCGTGGCCCTTACACTGTAGTAAGAAAAGTGTCAAATGTTGATTATGAGATTGATTATAAAGGGAAATTGAAAATTTTTCATGTTAACATGATGAAAAGGTATTTTACAAGAAATGTTAGTGATGATATGGTAGAAAATGTCAATGCTTGTAACATGATCAATGAACAAATAACTGACGCTATTAATGACGAATTACCAACACCGTCAGTGAAGGATGAGATCAACTGGAGGTCTGTAAAGATAAACCCCGAGTTGCCAACGGGAGATAAAGAAAAAAAATCGAGGGGGTAATCGAAAAATATAAAAACTATTTTTACCAACAAACCTGGGAAAAACCGATATAATTCATTTCGACATCCAGTTGAACTCAACCATTCCAGTGAAAGCCAGAAACTATGCTATTCCCATTCATTATACTGAAAAAGTCGTAGAGGAACTGAAACAATTACAAGCAGACGGCATAATCGAAGACTCAACGTCAGAATACAGCTCACCAATGGTAATTGTAAAAAAGAAAGATGGCAGTTTGAGATTATGTGTAGATTACAGAAAACTAAATGCTATCACTCATTTGGAATCAGAACCCATTCCTTCAACAGAGGACATAATCCAGAATTTATACAATTCAAAATTCTTTACGAAATTAGATCTTTGTAAAGGGTACTGGCAAATTCCATTGACACAGGAAAGCCAGCAGGTATACTAGCTTCCAAACCCCACTCGGTTTAAAACAGTGGTTACGTTTACCATTTGGGTTGATAAACGCAGCAAAAATATTCACAAAACTCATAAGAAAGATATTAACAGGTATTAATAATGTAACAGCATACATGGATGATATTTGCATACACACAAAAACTTTGCCGGAACACATAGACACCTTGAAAGAAGTGTTCAGCAACATTCAAAAGGCAAATCTGACTGTTAATCCAGCGAAATCAGAGTTTTGTTTCACACAAATCCAGTTTTTAGGACATACAGTGTTCCAGGGTAGTATTCAGACTGACGAGACAATTGTTTCTAAAATTTTAAAAATTGAAAGACCAAAGACCAAGAAACAACTACAGGCACTATTAGGACTTGTAAATTATTACGGCAAATTCATCCCTAAGTTAGCAGAACTAACAGCCCCTCTATCGGAACTTTTGAAAAAAGACCAGTTTAGAAAAAAGGATTGGACAGAAACTCATGACAAAATCATACAAAAAATCAAGTCTTCATTTGCCACTCCACCAATACTAAGACAACCGGACCCATCTAAAACTTTCTACCTACAAACTGACGCTAGTGGTCATACCATAGCCGCGATGTTGGCTCAAAGGCATTCCGGTACTCTTCTTCCGGTTCTATATCTTTCACAGAAACTTAATTCCACCCGAAATACAGTACTTTTGAAAAAGAGGCTCTCGCTCTTGTTATCAGCCTTAAAAAATTCCAAAAATTCTTGATAGGAAAGGAATTCATTATTCTGACTGATAACTTAGGCCTGACAAAATTGTTAACAATGGATGCAACAAATAACGCAAGAGTATACAGATGGGCGTTATTATTATCCCAATTTCAGTTCAAGATAGAACACATTATGGGCATTGAAAACCATCTACCCGACGTGATGTCCAGATTATAAACATAGATTCAATTTTGTATTGTATGTATTACCTTGGGGAAATCCTGAATTACAGGAAAGAATATGGTTGAATGAATGAAATATGTAAACATAGCTTAACTGATGATTTTTATGTATGTTACATTTGTAAGTAAGCAACAATATACGTGTGACAATGGTGACTATAATGAGGAGAATGATGATGACGATGAGATGAATATGATGACAATAATGCTGATAACGACAACAACAATGAGGATGATGATGATGATGATGATGATGATGATAACGATGATGATGATGACAATAATGATGATGATTATGACAATGAAGATGTTAAAACATGGTGAAATAAGGTTTAATAATGATTGCATATGTTGTTTAGATAAATTTATTGGTGAGAATATAGGTGGTAAAACATGTAATAGGGTAATTACTATGATATAGAAAGGGAATAACAATACTTTTCGGAAAAGTAATGGGTAATTTACGCCACATAATCCAAGGGATTGAGTTCGAAATCCTAAATAGGGAAACATATGTTTCTAATTGAAACGTAAACCAGTGACAGTAACCATGAGTCCAACGGTGAGGGTGGGACTTTGCGGGTTTTCTACATTTCTGTTCCATAGCCGATATGGACTTCAGTACTTGAAAGAGAGTACCAGAATTGTTGTTCTGTTTTATACAGACTGTGGGATGGCATGGGGTTAATACGCAGAGCCTATATGGACTACCGCACTTGGAAGAGAGTGCCTGAATGGTTGTTTCCCATTAAGCCACTTGGTACTTATTGGTACTTATAACTGGTAATGTGACAAAGGGAAATAATGTAAAACCTATCAAAAGGGAAGTAACCATTAAAACCCAAAATGATTATTAGGTAATCCACATCATTACATTAAAGTAGTCCCAAACCTTTAAAATTATAACCTAAAGATAAAGTAATAGAAAAAAAAAAAATTTTAAGGTTAAATTTTTTTTACTAGAAGGGAGGGGGAGATTGTAATGTTGTGAATTCCCGGGGAAACCCCAGAGAGTTCCCGATGGGGAGAAAAAGGTCGGAGGACCCGTGAGAGAAGAGAAAAAAAAAGGGAGAAGTGAGTCTCGTGTGTCTCATGGTAAACGAAGTGAGAGACACAAGAAAAGCATGAGACGTGAACGGAAGACGTGAACCGAGAGACTGAAGTAAGACAGTTGAAGTTCTGCCCTGACTGAGAGAGGACGCGTGAATGAACGCCTGAGAAGAATAAATGATTTGTGAAGTGAACGTTATATTTCAATAGGAGGACTGAATGTTTTTCCATACGTCGTAATGTCAGATATCAGAGTCCATGAAGTATAGATGGATGGTTCGAGAGGCGCTGATAGATTCCTGTAGTGTGTGGGAAGTCCGTCCAGGTCGCTAGATTCAGCCAAGCAAGTCGAGCACGAGGAAGCATGAATGTATGTTTGCGATAACTGGAGATTCAACGAATAAAAGCAAAGAACTCAATATTCGTTCATGCTGTGTCGTTTCAACTCACTGTTCGTCTGAAAGCAATGTAAACAACACATGCCCCTAGATGAGCACATTACAGTCCCACACAATTGCTGATGTGTCCTTTTTTAAATGTAAGCGTACGTTGTGAATGCCCTGCAAATATCATTATCTTCTAAATACACCTGCATCCAGAACTCTTCTTGGCTTCCTTCATGGTACTTTTGTTTTAAACTACTGTCTTCGCTGATCTCAAGCAGATTTGGAAAAATACATGATTACTGCCGCCGCACCCCTGGCATACACTCGCGGCACCCCTAGTTGGTCATGCGTCTTAGTACATTTGTTCATGCAGTGGAGCGCTGTGGTCATTTGAAGGGGACATATTCGATTAACAGGAGCCTTTGATTGTTATGTTGTCTGGGGTGTTCACCTATCTTTCTATGTGTGCCGATCAATACTTGCTATGAGCTTACAAAATATATCGAAGTGACTAGACGCTTGCCTGCCAACGCTAAAGTCTTGAGTTAGAATCAGCATCGAGTCTTTTTTTTTTTTTTTTTTTTTCTGTTCTCCTTTTTAAAATTCTTGATAACTGACATTTGCTCCCAGTTGGACTCAGCTTAAAATGGGTACCAGGAGTTGTCTAAGTGGGTCACAGATCAATCCTCAAGCTGGCATCATTGACTTACGATGTCATTTCCTGGCGCATCATTTAAGTTAGTCCGACCTGAACTCTGATTCGAACATGCACAACTGCTTGTAAGTAAATGGACTAAATTAACTTCCCCGCTAAAAAGTAAACCAGGCGTAAGGTTCTGTAATCATATGTTCCCCCACCATTGACGGCACTCTGTGAGGGTGTCGGTACTCATTGATGGTGTCGACACTAGGTAGGGTGTCAGCACACGGTGAGGGGTGTCAACAGATGGATCAACTAGCCGATTCTAAACAATGTTAGGGATCAAATTATCAAAGCGCGGCGACTCTACGTTTTAAAGTCATCTAATTATCACGAATTCCTTCCCTTTAAAACTTACCTAATTATCTATGTCATATTTTTCGAACCACAAAACACACACACACACACAAATTTCAGGAAAACATTACTGCACATACTGCATAGTCATTCACAAAGTGTGTGTGTGTGTAGATGTGTGTGCAAAAAGTGAGTTCTCGTGTTTATCAGGAAATATCTAAAACCTCAAACAGTTTTTTTTTAAGTACATTTTCAAAATTATAATTAATTTAGCTCTAGACGTGTCCTAAAAAATTAATCTAGTTTTGTCCTTTTTAGGACAAATTTTTTTGTTATTTGAAGCCCCACCCTGGCTTTTTTTCTAGGGGCCGCAATATAGGCAGATCATAAATATGGCAAATTGTCTGAACGCGATTTCTGGGACCTCTCCACGGCGATCCTCATCCACGTGGTGGCACTTTGTGTCATCGGGTGTTTATCGCTTGTGTGATGTCCTAGTCAGTCAGTCAGTCTAGACGTGTCCTGTTTATGCTGCACCTGTAATGGTAACCTCAACATGCACATCTGGTTCGATACTGATTGACATGACCCGCCTAACGATCTGAGAGAGACTGCCGGTCAATGATGCGATTGTGGATTCTTAACTGTAATCTATCCCATGTCTTGAAACCTTCACCACGGAGGGTTTTGGGTGTTGAGATATGCACAATTTTAGTTGGCGTGTGCACCGGCACTTTTACTTTTAGGTTCTTTTCCTCAGCAGCTTTGATGTGGTCAGCGTACAATTTCTTAAGACTTGTCACGATCCTGCTTGTCTGGGTGATGCAAATCCTGTGGATTGGTGCTTTTTCTGCTGCAGTTTTCAGAGAGCCATCCTTGCTAAACCCAGACTTCTTCAATGACGGGGGTCTCAATACATGGGGGCAGCCGCATGTGCTGGAGGTCGCGTGTTCAGGCTGCAATTTTTTCAAGGGGACTTCTAGTAATTTCCCCTAATCCCTGGGTAGTAGGACCGAATGCCTGTGTGTATTGTTGCGCACGCAACCCCCCCCCCCCCCCCCCCCCCCCCCCCCCCCCCCCCCCCCCCCCCCCCCCACAGTTGGAAATCACAGAGTTGCCTAACGGTGCTGTCCGGACAAAAGTTGGAGTTACAAATTTGCTCAAAAGTAGGTAATGATCCTCGCCGGTGCTACGGAGTGAGATAAGGATATATATATTTAAAAAAAAAATTATTTTAAAGAAAAATAAGGCGGTCACTCTCTAAACAGAATTCATTTTAATGCAATCTGGCAAACAAAACAGTCAGAATAGAGCATAAATAGCGAAATACAAATCTTAAACAAGTGTGTGAAAAGTGTTATCTCAAGTTAATTAGACAAACAAAATTATGTTTCACTAACCAACTAAACAGCCCTCATGTGCTATGCTACGATATACTGCTGCAGCACATGTAATGGAGTAAATGTATGGCTGCCTCCCCTAGTTAGGTTAGTTGCGTATCCTTTACAGGACGTTGCAGAACCAACCCCAACAGCCCCTGGCTATTGTGTGGTTTTTCTAGGCAATTTTACATCCAGTAGTTTGTCACTGCTTACTGAACGGTCAGCTTTCTTGATACCACTGTCGAAACCAACGCAAGGCGCATGGCCCGCAACTGGGATCGAACCCGGCATCCCGGCATTACGAAACATTTGCATCGACTTAGCCGCAGAGCTGACGCCTCCACTGGTAACATGATGAATTATGGGCGTCTCCCATATTAACATAATAAATGTGTGGCTGCCTCCCCTAGTAACATGATAAGTGTATGGCTGTCTCCCCTAGTAACAGGATAAATGTATGGCTGTCTCCCCTAGTAACAGGATAAATGTATGGCTGTCTCCCCTAGTAACAGGATACATGTATGGCTGTCTCCCCTAGTAACAGGATAAATGTATGGCTGTCTCCCCTAGTAACAGGATAAATGTATGGCTGTCTCCCCTAGTAACAAGATAAATGTATGGCTGTCTCCCCTAGTCTTTTTCTTCTTCACGTTCACCAGCTGTAAACTCCGGCGGAAAGTTATAGTTGTTCGTCCACCTCTGGACTGCAGTCCTGTTCCAGAACCTGATTGTTGCGTGTGCATTCGTTTGACAGATCTGACTTATTTTTATGCAGACTGCTGGTTCCTTGCCTCTCAAGCAAATGCACTCCGACTTCAAAGGAAGCTCCCAATTAGTAGACTCTAATTAGTAGAATTAGTAACATGATAAATGTATGGCTGTCTCCCCTCGTAACATGATAAATGTACGGCTGTCTCCTCCAGTAACAGGATAAATGTACGGCTGCCCTCCCTAGTAACATGATAAAGGTATGGCTGGCTCCCCTAGTATTATGATAAATGTATGGCTGACTCCCCCCCCCCTTCCCCCCAGTAACATGTTAAATGTAAGGCTGCCTCCCCTAGTAACATGATAAATGTAAGGCTGCCTCCCCTAGTAACATGATAAATGTACGGCTGTCTCCCCTAGTAACATGATAAATGTACGGCTGTCTCCCTAGTAATATGATAAATGTGTGGCTGTCTCCCTTAGTAACACGACAAATGTATGACTCTCTCCCTAGTAACACGATAAACGCAACGCTATCTGCATAGTAACACAATAAATATATAGTTAACTCCCTAGCAATAATACACGTATAACTGTCTTCCTAGTAACAAAATAAATGTATTGCTGTATCCCAAATAACATAATAAAGGCATAGTTATCTCCCTGGTGACATAATAAATGTCAAGTTGTCTCCCCTAGTAACAATAATAAATGTATGCTATCTGTTTAGTAACTTAACAGATTTATATATGTCTCCCTATGTTTCTGCAACCATTTTCACGGGATCTGCTAGCCAGGTTTATTTTAACTTTGAGAACAATGTTTCTGCCGCCTGTGGAGTATACAACAATCAAGAAATATGGACAACTGTGAAACTGATGACATTTTGTTTCACCCAGCCTTATGGATATGGGAACGGTTGATATTTACAAATGTATTATCATTTATTTAGTGTGATGTTTCCACACGAGGGCAGAAGTAACTTCGAAGGGAGTTCCATTTTTGTGAGGAGAAATAATAGACCCCCTGCCTTCTAGCAGGCCACTAATTAAGAATGTGCTGAAGTCGGAGGTATGGGACTGAAATGGAAAGATATCACAGCCTATCTGTTACGTACAGTACAACGAGCCACCCGCCCTTTTAAAGGTGAACGCACAAGTAGAATACACAGTAGCAGATGAACACTACAAATGAACCGGATGTGATGTACTAGAAAACAGTCAAGCAAAACGACCTGCGAAGTATCTTCAGGGGAGATCACCTTAACGCGTATTCACAACTATGCTTGGTTGTAACCCCTTGATACCACCACGTACATTTCTACAATAAACAAATCGTATTTTACTGAATGGCACTCACAGATTCAGCAGTGGTGAAGCGTGATCAGTTCGCACTGTAGGCATTAGCAGGTAACTGTTACTCTAGAGGGGGTATCATGTAATATTTTCTTTCCCGTTGCTTCGTTTTAGGAGTATGCGTACGCAGCTGGAATAGTAGAACGTGCAACTGCTAGCTTCAACACTTTACAGTTTCTGCATTAGTGGCGTACGCAGGCAGCAAGCGTTCTTGTCACCTTGTTAATACTCTTGATAAGCTGTATCTGCTCGACGAGACGTAACCCATGTGGCGTATTTGAAAGTGTAACAGGTGATTACAACCCATTCATGCACGCATATCTTTGGCCTTGTCGGTTTCAGGAAAAGGAGAGTATAATAAGCATGCGATCATCTGGACCATGTCAATGTGTGTCCTATCCAGTGTCAGCATCTTTTTGTCAGCTCCTAATTCACTAGAATGTTTTTAATTCTCACCCTCAAAGTGGTCTCCATGGCAAAGTGGTCAAGCCGTTTGAGTCGCATTCTAAAGGTCGTGGGTTCATTTAACGGTTGCGTTGTTCAGTTCACTAGTGCAGTTTTTACAGAGATCATTGGAGATCGTCACCGGAGCTACAGAGTTTGTGCTCTCTGCGATGCTCTGGGCAGACGGCTAGCCGTTCTGCGGAGAGAGACCGAGCCATATGAGATAAAACCCGATGCAATGAAGTCTATTCTTTCCAGATTAACTTCCACTTTTATTTTCTCTCCCTAAAGTGCATTTTGTCCTTGTATACTGTGTAGGAACCAGATTATTTGTAGTTCATTAACAACCGTTCCACTCAGCCGCAATGCTGGTGATCCGTCAAACAATGCTATTTCACTTGATATCTGTCTGGGTTCTGGAGACTTGCTGTGCGTGTCTATGTTGGGGGTTTGGGGGGGGGGGGCAGTGCCCTTCAACAAGAATGCCGTAAATATGACTCCGTGTTTGTGTTGGGCTGAAAGTGTAGATACCTTGAGCTAGACTTAAACCACAACACAATGTGGCAGTTTATTTTATTTTTTTCTCAGAAGAAGAAGAAGAAGAAGAAGAAGAAGAAGAAGAAGAAGAAGAAGAAGAAGAAGAAGAAGAAGAAGAAGAAGAAGAAGAAGAAGAAGAAGAAGAAGAAGAAGAAGAAGAAGAAGAAGAAGAAGAAGAAGAAGAAGAAGAAGAAGGAGACTTAACATTTAAAAATAAAAACTGAAATAAAACATACAGTGAGAAGAAAAATGTCAGAATTCAAACTCACACAATGGTCGACACAATGCATAAAGTCAATAATCTCCTCAACACAAGTCTCTGTTGTCTTGTCCTGACTCTCCACTCGTTCGTTACACTCCTCCAGCCTCACCTTCAGCGAGGCACACTCTTTCTTCTGGGAGCAAGATTCTCTCAAGGCTGTCTGCGGGTCCTGCAAAGTTACATCATTACGGCACAACAGATACAAGATAAAGGCATGCTACAAGAGCAGGAGTGGCAACCATGTACTTTGCTGAAGCATAGATGCCTGCGCTGGTTGGAACATATCTCCTGCAAGAAATACGGTCACATTCCACAGAATCTGATGTATGGTGAAGTGGAAGCAGGATCAAGATCCACCGGAAGGCCAGAGCTATGCTATAAGGCCGTAAGAAGGTACTAGATACTAACATTGTCCTTAAAGGGTAGTTGGCTCATTGTGTCGCAGTTTACAGCTAGGCTTCGATATTTGCATCTTCCCGTCCAAGTGCCCGATTTCAGCTAATCATGAATTATTCGCCTTTTACAAAATTCTTGTTAAGGGACATCCAGTCGACTTACCCCCTCCCCCCTCTTCCCACAGACTTATGCCACAGAACACATGTAAGGGCCCAGAATGCAAATGGGAAAGAGGGTCTCTGTTAAAAATTAAAATTTATTCTCTATGTCATGCAGTGATTTTTTTTTAAACCAGCGACAGAGAGAGAGAGAGAGAGAGAGAGAGAGAGAGAGAGAGAGAGAGAGAGAGAGAGACAGACAGACAGACAGACAGACAGACAGACAGACAGACAGACAGAGAGAGACCGAGAGAGTCAGAGAGAGTCAGAGAGAGACAGAGACAGACAGAGAGAGACAGAGAGTCAGAGAGATAGACAGAGACAGAGAGAGAGAGACAGAGAAAGACAGAGAGAGAGAGAGAGAGAGAGAGAGAGAGAGAGACAGAGAGACAGAGAGCAATTACGACAGCTTCAAAAGCATATATAAAACAGATTTTCCTATTGGACACAGATAATATAAGTTATTCTTTCCTCTTGAACCTAGGGCAGAGGTCACAGATCCCTATGTCTGGCGAAAGTCGTTGCCACCTGTTTTAGCTTCTTTAAGTTCATTAGGCCCATGGTTGAGCCTTCCCTGATGGTGCTTCTTCGTGGGGTCTCTCTTGGTCTTTTCCGTTTTATTTTCCGTTCCGGTGTCCATCTGAGGGCTTGATGGGGGGGAAGGGGGGGGGGGTGTGGTCTTATCCATTCTAAGTGCATGGCCGATGTAGTTCCAGCTTGCTTGCTGTCTGGTCTTATTTGCGTAATGGATGTGAGATCTGTCCAACGGAGATTTAGTATTCTTCTAAGACATCTGTTCTCAAAATTATATATAGATATATATATATATATATATATATATATATATATATATATATATATATATATATATATATATATATATATATATATATATATATATATATATATATATATATAGAGAGAGAGAGAGAGAGAGAGAGAGAGAGAGAGAGAGAGAGAGGACAATATACTGCTTGTAACAGATGACAGTTTAGAGTGAGATATTTCTTCCTGAATCTTCTCAGTTATGGTTGCTGGGGAATCCGTTATGAACCTGATGGCAATGTCCTCAGACAAGAACTGTTCTCATGACCATCCACCCTGTTGACTACATCAACAATCGACACCCACATCCTTTGACTTTCCCCAGAAAGATTAAGCACTTATTAGCTTTTCTTGAGTGCACTATAGACTACAAATCACGGTGGTCAGTATGCAGCACTAGGTCTACAACCTTCACATATAGAAACTTGAAGTAATAATCTTGATTTACAAATGGCCGATTTAATATCCGGATGTTAGCATAATATCAGAATTTAATACTTACAACTAATTCTTCTTCTTCCTCTTCCTCCTCTTCTGCCACATCTTCTTCCTAAAAACAAAGAGACCATATTACAAACAGCATAAATGGACAGTAACGTTTATTCGAGCAAAGGACCCATTTGTAAACTACAGAAAGTATTGAGTGTATGGTCTCATCTTCTTCTTCCTTTATCACCAAATGAAGACCTCAGTCAGCAGATATCTGGATGTCCAATCTTGTGCAGCTCTTTTTGTGTCTTTTCGTGTGGCGAAGTTAATAAGCTGTTTGCCTCGCACTCTGAAGATCTTAGGTTCGTCTCACAGCTCGGCTTACAAGCGCAAGTTTTACAGAGACCCCTAGGAATCGTCACTAGAGCTACGGTGTTCATGCTTTGCGCGACACTCTCGTAGGCAGCTAGCCGTTCTGCTGAGAGATCAAGCTGTATGGAATAAGAATAAATAAACTCGAATCCTGGACTATCTGAAGTTACCCTGGTAAGTCCCGTGACTACGGCGAGCTTCCGGCGGCCAAAACACATACGATGTGTGCAAAGAAACTATTCGCTTTTCAGTTGGATTTATTCAGTTTTGTGCTTCGTTTTATGTCGATGTAACTCTGTAGTAACGCACCTGACGAGATACAGCGAAATATGTCTGACTATAAATTGTGCAATGTTTTGTTTGTTCCGCATTATTTAAATTTATTCATCTATGAATATAATGTATTTCCCGTGTTTCTAGACCCCCCCCCCCCCACCCACCCAACTCCCAATCTATCTCAGTTGTCCTGTTACTTCTATTTCAAAGTCATCCCAGTTATATTATCATCCCACTTTCTCAATGTGTGATCCACCTAGCATATACATTTGAATGACTAGCAGCAGATGGTGGAGCTGTCTAAGAGAGGGTAAAGCTGGTCTTACAACTGCCACCGCTGTTAGACCTCACACATACTCAGGGACGTATGACGCCCCTGTGCTGTCATTCATTTTATTCTCTCTTTCCCCTTGGCTAAATTTGTTTCGATAACAACCAGAAGATGTGGAATTATTTACTCTAGTTTTCGACTGTACGGGTGTATTTAAACTTAAATGATTTCAAAACTGATTTTAAAAAAAACCTTGCAAGTTGGGGTCCCAATGGAGCAATGATGCGTAACATACGATGAAACTTTCATAATGAGAAAACCATTACAAATACTGACATTCCTTTAACTACTAGTAACACTTTGCCACTCTCAGAATCTAGTTTGCCCTAAAATGTCGCCACTCTGTGCAGCTGCAAACGTTGCACATAGCCTAAATACGGCCATACATATACTAGGCAGAACAGTAATAGTTGATTGAGCAGTCCGAAAAAAGGCAAAGAGAGGCATAAAACAGACACTGGTGTAGAGTGTGAAATATACTAGGTCACAAATGCACAATTGTTTGGATTAAAATAAAATAAGTGAGAACACACACAAATTGGTCACAAGTTCCTCAAATAATTATTGAGACGGATAACTTATACGTTTCCTCTTGGCACATTCTCTCTCTCTCTCTCTCTCTCTCTCTCTCTCTCTCTCTCTCTCTCTCTCTCTCTCTCTCTCTTACACCTCCCTACACCATACACTGACTGCCTAACACTGTATCACCAAAGCTAGTGAGATTTTGTTTACATGGGAATTAAACTCTGGACTTCAGCAGCAGTTGTTGGGTACACTACTGCTCTACTCACTCTAAAAGAAAAGCACAATAGTTCCACAAAACCGTGTACCTGTTAAACAATTTAGATACACGGGGTATAATGTGACACTAAAATATCGGAATAAGTGACATGATAGTAAAAAGCACATAAGGTTGAACACTTTAATCTGAACTGTCACATGTGGGTGAACACTGTAATACGAACTGTCATTTAAGGTGACAACTTCAACATGACTTGTTACAAGAGGGCGATCACATGCAATATGAGCTGTCACATAAGGTTGAACACTTTAATCTGAACTGTCACATGTGGGTGAACACTTTAATCTGAACTGTCACATGTGGGTGAACACTTTAATCTGAACTGTCACATGTGGGTGAACACTTTAATCTGAACTGTCACATGAGGGTGAACACTTTAATCTGAACTGTCACATGTGGGTGAACACTTTAATCTGAACTGTCACATGTGGGTGAACACTTTAATCTGAACTGTCACATGTGGGTGAACACTTTAATCTGAACTGTCACATGTGGGTGAACACTTTAATCTGAACTGTCACATGTGGGTGAACACTTTAAACTGAACTGTCACATGTCGGTGAACACTTTAAACTGAACTGTCACATGTCGGTGAACACGTTAATCTGAACTGTCACATGTGGGTGAACACTTTAATCTGAACTGTCACATGTGGGTGAACACTTTAATCTGAACTGTCACATGTGGGTGAACACTTTAAACTGAACTGTCACATGTCGGTGAACACTTTAAACTGAACTGTCACATGTCGGTGAACACTTTTATCTGAACTGTCACATGTGGGTGAACACTTTATCTGAACTGTCACATGTCGGTGAACACTTTAAACTGAACTGTCACATGTCGGTGAACACTTTAAACTGAACTGTCACATGTCGGTGAACACTTTAAACTGAACTGTCACATGTCGGTGAACACTTTAAACTGAACTGTCACATGAGGGTGAACAATGTATTATGAACTGTCGCATGAGGGTGGACATTGTAATATGAACTGTCACATGAGGATGGACACTGTAATATGAACTGTCACGTGAGGGTGGACACTGTAACTTGAACTGTAACATAAGGGTGACCATTGTAATTTGAGCTGTCACATGAAGGTGATTACATGTAATATGAACTGTCACACAACAGAGATCACTGAAATATGAAGTGTCACTTATCAGTGATCACTGCAACATGGACGGTCATGTAACATGAACGGTCACGTAACAGTGATCACGAAATAATAGTCTATAAGTCTCTCCTAATCTTTCAATTGAAGACTTGACCCCCGTAGTGACCCGACCAGCCACATTATAAATTCCAAACCAGCTGGGCCAAATCCAGATACCTCATTCAACCCCTAAGAAGTTGTAATTATTGCACCCAAATGGCCAAACCAAATCTTACCCTGGTGTACTCTTCTCTTCTGTCACAGGCAGGAATGCAAAGTATTTTGGGTATTTTTTAAACTGACATCCAATGACTCAAAGAGCCACTATTAGGATGAGAAAGCAACCAAGCAAATCAGAACAACCAAGTTCAACAATACACAACAGTTAAACTAGGTCATCCGATGATTGTGATATAACCTGCTGTCCAACATCGACATG